AACGCAGGTGTTTCTTATTAAAGGTATTGATGCAGGTGTTCAATATAAACGCAGGTGTTCAAATAAACGCAGGTGTTCAAATAAACGCAGGTGTTTCTTATTGCAGGTGTTCAATTAAATCGTAGGTGTTTCTTATAAATTGTGTTTGGTGTAAGTATTCATGCAGGTGCTCACGTAGGTGTTCAAAGAAATTCATTCTTATGTAATCAAAAAAAAAATGTATAACAAGTTTTTCAGTTTTTAAATAATTATTTTTGTTTAGTATTTTTTTTTTGTCAATATCTCAAAGAATCGTCAAATTTTGATAGATTTTCTAACAAATTTTCTTTTTCTTCATTTGTAATTAGTTCTATACAATTGAATATACGAACATAATTAAGAATTATCCAAATAGCAAATTTGGTAAGTAAATTTTTGTTGTTGAAAAACTACGTTTTATTCTCTTCATTTTGTAACAACTTTTATTTTTCTTAATTTTGCAAATTAGATCGATGCAATTGTTGTGCAGATTATAGAAAATATTAAAAAATATGAATGATTCGAATAATTTTTTTAGTAAAGAAAATTTTCAATTGAAAAACTACTTTTTTTTGGTTCAATTGATTTTCTAACAAATGTTCTATTTCTTATTTTAAAATTAGTTTTTCTTAAAGTCAAGTTAAATCTGTGCAATAATTGTGTAAATTATAACAAATATTGAATAAAATAACATAATTTCAAATTATGTATAATTTTCTATTGAGAAACTACTTTTTTTCTATTGATTTTGCAACTTTTGTGCAAATTATAGCAAATATTGAATAAATTGACATAATTTTTCAATAAATAATATTTTCAATTAAAAAACCAGTTTGCAATTCGTTTTATACAAGTATGGTGCTAATTATAGCAAGTATTGAATGGATTAAGATAATTAAGAATTGATTTTGAATAATTGTTCTTAATTTGCAATGAATTCTAATTGCATTGAATTCATTAATTGTGCAAATTATAACTGAGAATAAATCAATATAATTATGGAATATTTAACTTTTCTTTTCTTCAAATTATGAATTACTTAAATAGAATTATGATACGTGAAATATTCAATTGGAAAAGTCCCTTTTTTTGGTCAATTTTCCATCAACTTTAGAATGTTTTCTCCAAAGAAACTTATAAATATTTTCATTTTGCAGAATTCTCATTGCATTTTACCAAATCAGCTTTAGATCATGTTAAACTAATACAGAGTTGCACAATTAGGAAAACTTTGACAAAGTTTTCACTTTGAATTGCAAACAGGAGAATTCCGAATTCAGCTAGATTCCTTAATTTGAAATTAATTATGTGCAATAATTCTGCAAATTATAGCAAATATTGAATAAATTGACATAATTGTTCAATAAGTAACATTTTCATTTAAAAACCAGTTTGCAATTCGTTTTATACAAGTATTGTGCTATTTATAGCAAGTATTGAATGGATTAAGGTAATTAACAATAGATTTTGAACAAGTTTTCTTAATTTGCAATTAACTAAGATTATTTGCAGACAATATTTTTTCCAAAAAATACTTTTTTAAAAAAGATTTTTAAAGAAATTAAATATAATTATGAATTACTTAAATAAAATTATGATAAGTCAAATGTTTATTTGCAAAAGTCCTTTTTTTCCGGTTAATTTTCCAACAACTTTTCATTTCTTTAGAATGTTTTCCGTACAGAAACTTATAAATATTTGCATTTTGCAGAATTCTCATTGCATTGTACCAAATCAGCATTAGATCATGTTAAGCTAATACAGAGTTGCACAATTAGGAAAACTTTGACAAAGTTTTCACTTTGAATTGCAAACAGGAGAATTCCATATTCAGCTAAATGGATGGAACTGTTCGAACGTAAATTGCAGAAAAACTAAAAATATCCGAAATATTTTGTAGACTCATTGAAATGGCTATACTTTTGTCTTTCATTTGCTTATTCACTGATCTAATTAAACTACGTGATTATCCAATCACTAAATAAAACCTGAAGACTTGCTTCCTTTTTTCATTTCACAGCATTTTATGATAAATGCCGTGGCTTATGAAATACGTTTCTTATCTATTGTGTTTTGCGCAGGTGTTCAATAAATACGCAGGTGTTCAATTAAAATGCAGGTGTTTCTTATAAATTATGTTTCACATAAGTATTCATACAGGTGTTCAATTAAGATGTTGGTGTTCACGTAGGTGTTCACGAAACGAAATTGAATAAAATAACATAATTTCAAATTATGTATAATTTTCTATTGAAAAACTACTTTTTTTCTATTGATTTCTCAGCAAATTTCATTTTTCTTAATTTACAATTACTTCCATGCAACTTTTGTTCAAACTATAGCAAATATTGAATAAATTGACATAATTTTTCAATAAACAACATTTTCAATTAAAAAACCAGTTTGCAATTCGTCTTATTGTGCTAATTATAGCAAATATTGAATGAATTAAGATAATTAACAATGGATTTTGAAAAACTTTTCTTAATTTGCAATTATCGTGCATATTATAACTGAGAATAAATCAATATAATTATGGAATATTTAACTTTTCTTTTCTTCAAATTGTGAATTACTTAAATATAATTATGATACGTGAAATATTCAATTGGAAAAGTCCCTTTTTCCATCAACTTTAGAATGTTTTCTCCAAAGAAACTTATAAATATTTGCATTTTGCAGAATTCTCATTTCGTTGCACCAAATTAGCTTTAGAACATGTTAAGCTAATAATAGAGTTGCACAATTAGGAAAACTTTGACAAAGTTTTCACTTTGAATTGCAAACAGGAGAATTCCGAATTGTAGCTAGATGGATCCGTGAAATTGTATGGAATTATGCACGGTGATGCTGGGAATGCAAAAATAAGTAAATAAATACCTAAGAAGGTGGCCGAGGGTGAATTGTAGGCGAGATACTCCTTGTTGGAAGCCCAGGCCGGGAACTCGCACTGCTGCAGAGGGCCGCATCCCTCGAGCTCGTCATCTCGTTTCCATGGCAACACGCTCTCCGTAGCCGTGGGCGTCGTGACGCGCATCAGATCACCGCCTGCAAGAGAGGAAACCAGAAACGACGCAAAACCGACGCAAAAAGTTAATATCATATTACATACATACACACACACTCACAATAATAATAATAATAAGTGGAATATTTTTTTTAAATCTATTTTCTAGTTTATATATTTTTGTAAAAAAAAAATTTTCGTGGTGGGATTTGTTTGTTGGCTAGGGATAAGCGGGTCTGCCTTTCCATGCCGTACGTACCGTCTATGGAACCCTTAGATAAACGTTTTCCAGTGTCTGAGTAAGGACTGTCATCTGTAACTGAACATAGAAACATTCATACTAAAAACGAAACTAAAAAAAAAAATAAGGAACAGAAGTAGAAGAAGAAAATGGAAAATAACGAAACGAAGAGGAAATATAGACGATAGATAACGAAACTGTGAGAATATACATGTAGATATTTATATGAAGAGAGAGATAGAAAGAAGGATAAATCATAATTACAAACAGAGAGAGAGAAATAATAAACGGACAAGAGCGGCGGATTTCTCTTTTATTAAAAGATCTTGTTCACTAAATGACTGATTTGCGTTAAGAGAAATGTTTTTTTTTCTTTGTTTCAAGTACATTCTTCAAAAAAAAAATCACAGGTAGAGAAACATGCAACAAATATTTAGTAGATACACCGAAAGCTGAAGAAACAAAACAAACGACGACGAGAATCCATAAAGTACGACGAAACGTGCATGCGATTATATTAGCGTGATGCGTGCAGACTAAATCAAAGTTGATTTATAACAACTAGAAAGGAAACAAAATAATAAACAGAAAACAATTAGAGGGGGAAAACTCTGTCTCGATTTGCTACATTCTGGAAGAACGAAATTCTAAAAAAAAAAGAAACGAAAGGAAACTAAAATAGTTTGGGCCCCAAATTTAAGAAATCAATAAAAAAAAATTGGAAAATCAAGAACAGATTTTGTTGTTGTTGCAATTTTTACTATAATTATTTTAAAAAATATTTTATTATTTTTTTGCATCTAAATTTTGTAATTATTTTCATTGAATCAAACTAATTTTACATCAAAATTTAATTAATATTGTTTAATCTCTCAATAGTAAATGAAAAGTAAAACATTTCTTTATTTTATAAAGGAAATGTAATCAGTAATGAAATTACGTTTTATAGTTTAAAAAAAATGTTAATAGAAAAATAGAAATGTAATTATTGAAATTATTTAATAAATTTTTAGTTAAATGTTAAAAAATTAAAGATATTTAATTTAATTTACTGCCAAAATTTGTAAAAATTAGCTAAATACAGGTAAATTTTTTTTATTGTTTATAAAATTAGTTAATAATTCTTCACATAAAGATAGAAATTATATAAAATTATTTGAATTTATCACCTAAATATGTAACAATTAGAATTATACACATTTTACAGTTAATAGTAAAATTTCAGTTTGTAATTTTTTCAATCATTAATTTTTTTTATAAAAATTGTAAAAATAATAATCGAAATTGATAACTTTGCAAATGAATATTATAATTACTAAATTTTAATCATATGTGTTGTTTTTTAATGTCTAAAATTGATCTAATTGTGTTTTTCTTTAAATAATATTAATAAACATTTATAATCTGTTCTTAACTTCTTCTAAATCAATCTAAACCATAAAAAAACTTAGAAGAAACAAAACAAAAAAACAAACGGAAACTAAAATTGTTTGGGCCCCAAATTTAAGAAATCAATAAAAAAAATTGGAAAATCAAGAACAGATATTGTTGTTGTTGCAATTTTTACTATAATTATTTAAAAAAAATATTACTTTTGCATCTAAATTTTGTAATTATTTTCATTAAAACAAACAAATTTTGCATCCAAATTTAGTTAATATTGTTTAATCTCTCATTAGCTATTAAAAAGTAAGAAATTACTTCATTTTATATGTAATCAGTAATGAAATTACTTTTTATAGTTTAAAAAAATGTTGAAAATCATATTTTTTTTTGTAAAAAATAGAAATGTAATTATAAAAATTATTTAATAAAATTTCAGTTAAATGTTAAAAAATTGAATTTAATTCCAAAATGTGTAAAAATTAGCAAACTACAGCTAAATATTCTATTGTTTATAAAATTAGTTAATAATTATTCACATAAAGATAGAAATTATATAAAATTATTTGAATTTATCACCTAAATATGTAACAAATAGAATTAAACACATTTTATAGTTCATAGTAAAATTTCACTTTGTAATTTTTTCAATCATTAATTTTTTTATAAAAATTGTGAAAATAATTTTGTAATTATTTTCATTGAAACAAACAAATTTTACATCCAAATTTAATTAATATTGATTAATCTCTCATTAGCTATTAAAAAGTAAGAAATTACTTCATTTTATATGTAATCAGTAATGAAATTACCTTGTATAGTTTAAAAAAATGTTGAAAATCATCAAATTTTTGTAAAAAATAGAAATGTAATTATATAAATTATTTAATAAAATTTCAGTTAAATGTTAAAAAATTAAACATATTTAATTTAATTTACTGCCAAAATGTGTAAAAATTAGCTAGCTACAGCTAGTTTATAAAATTAGTTAATAATTCTTCACAGAAGGTTAGAAATTATTTGCATTTATCACCTAAATATGTAACAATTAGAATTATACACATTTTATAGTTCATAGTAAAATTTCAGTTTGTAATTTTTTCAATCATTATTTTTTTTATAAAAATTGTGAAAATAATAATAGAAATTGATAACTTTGCAAATGAATATTATAATTACTAAATTTTGATCCTAAGTGTTGTTTTTTAAGATCTAATTGTGTTTTTCCTTAAATAATGTTAATAAATCTGTTCTTAACTTCTTCTAAATCAATCTAAACCATAAAAAAACTAAACTATAAACATGAAAGAATGTTCAAATCCTACGATGGTAAACTTAGAAAAAACAAAAACAAAAGAAACTTCTTTCTGGCAGGGTCGATGGTTGGCGTTGGTTTTTGGTTCAAAGGGTTTCGGTTATTGAAGGGGTTAAGGTTTCGGTTTCGATTGTTGTATTTCTTTCGAGATGGTTTAGTTCTTTAGTTCTTGAGTGAGAGAGAGATATAATGTAATAAATATTGAATATAAATTTGATTTTTTGATTCTAATGTAATAATAGTAATAAATTTGATGTTTTAATTTTGGAATTGTAATTGAATTGCGACTCCGTACCGTTATTGAATGGGTTTTTGTCCCTGCGCCAAGGGAGGCAACCCTCGATGGCGGTCGTTTTTTTAGCACTTTTGGGGCCCATCAGAGGCGTTAACTGACTGGTTAAGCTTCCGCTTCCTTCCGTTGCCGCACTCAATGGGCATTCCTCCTCCTCATCAGCTAAAATAAACACAACCACACACACGAGACAAAACCTCGCATCATACAGAATGCACCAAAACACGTACAGACTCACGTACAGAATATTTTTTTTTGCAAAGACGCGACTCTGATGGATCAACACAACAACAACAACAAACAACAACAAAACATACACACTTATTAGTGTTATTAAAAGAAAAACAGAAAAAACTCAGTGCAAGAGTTTGAAATACCCGTCAAATTAAGTTTTACTAAAGGTGTCCCAAATAGAACTGATATTTTAGTTTTTTAATAAAACATATTTTTTATTCGATAATTAACAATATTTTTGCTATATTACAAAGTAGAGACATGGAGGTTTTTGTTTGATAAAAAAATATTTGCCTTGTCAACACATGTTCACTCTTTTGATCAAATTTCAAAAGAAAGAAGTTTCACTTCGAGTTAACACAATTTTTTACAATTTAATGATAGCATATCAAACATCTTTGATTTTACTGTGAAAAAATAGCGGTAAATTTAAAATGTCAGTTATTTTTGGGACAGCTAAAAGAAAAACAGGTGTTGCAAACTCTATGTTAATAGTGTTAATTTGTAGGTGGTTAAAGGAGAAGTATGTAAATTATAAAAATTAGACATAATAACGACAAAAAAACAACAGTTTTGTTCATGCTTCGACAACGTTGAGCACAAGAACGTAAGCACACAACTCAATGTCAGCCAGTAATTAAAGAAAACAAAAAAAATTAAAACCATGTAAATGAAAAAAAAAAATAGAAAAACTATACGTGTTTAAGTTCGCAAATAATCTTGCTTTTTTTCGTTTCGATTTTGAAATTAAATTGTACGAAAAGTAAATAGAGAAGTTAACAGCCTTTACCTACTTCCCTCGTCGTTCAAAAACACTGTACATCTGAGCATCCAAACCTTTGTTTGTTTGTTTGTTTTTTTTTTCTTTTCATACTTACGCGAAGATTTTGCGGTGAACGTGATCGGACTGTCCCAATCTTCCTTGCTTGATTTTGGATCCGTCGTGTCGTTGTCCTCGTGCAGAACTTCATTGATGTAGTCTGCAAAAAGTACAAAGTTTCGATCAGTATTGGATAATGAAAATGGTCGTAGTGAATGAACGTTATATGAAAGGTGAATAAAATCAAATCATAAACAAATTAAAGGGAGGATTCAAAAAATAAAAATAGAGTAAAAGAAAAAAAAACGTCCAAATGTGGCGAATACAGACCCTCGTATTTACCATGGGAGAACTGTTTCGCTGTGCCGTTCTGCTGGAACTCTGGGAAACTCACGTGGTTCTGTTTCCCATCCTGCAAAGTAAAATTTACATACAGTGTTACTATGGAAACTTTAGTTGTTACTAGGCAACTGTTGTTAAGCTATACAATATGTTGTGGAAATTGACAATAAAGCAAATAGAAGTAAAGTTATTATGTCCTGATTCAGTGAAAAATTTCAAAATTCATTTTCGATTAGTCCGTGTTCAAACAGTCCGAAATATTGACGGAACAAATTATCTGGACTATGCGTGGTATTTCTGTACTCATCAAGGATTGTGTAGAGCAGTGGTTTCCAAACTTGATGTTACTTCGCCTCACTCAAAAGTATGTAATCATTTGGCGCCTCCCCACACCCCTCCATTTCATAAAAATCAATGAAATGTGAAAACATTGCTTTTTCGAACGTTTTAATTT